GCTTGGACGCTTTAAGAAGCATCAACATGCAATCAGTGAGATAGAAAACTGTGATGAAATGCCGAGAAGCACTGTCCTGGCTGCGTCGGGGCGGGGCTAGCCTGTGCTGGGCGCCAGGCCACAGCAATGTGGTGGGCAATCAGGAAGCAGACAGACTCGCCAAAGACGGGGCCAGGGGAGAGGCCGTGGGAGATGATCCACCACTTGTGACGATCAACACACTGAAGGAAGCTATAGGAACTGCTATCAAGGCCAAGCAGCAAGAGACGTGGCAACACCGTGAGGACTGCGCTACAGCTCGAAGATTATGGCCAGTGGTAGATAGCAAAAAGACAAAACAGCTACTAGAGCACAAAAATGACCTAGTACGCATAATTGTAGGTATCGTCACTGGAAACTGTCCCACGGGGGTAAACCTCGTGAGATGGAAAGTTTCCGACGACGACTGCTGCAGAGAATGCGGAGAGGAAGGAGAAACCATAGAGCACCTGCTGTGCCACTATCCGGCACTGGAATACCGACGCTTTAAAACTTTAGGGTAAGGTTTTTTAGAGGGACTAGAGGAAGCTGCAGAAGCCAACATCAGCGACATCAAGAACTTTGCAAAGAGCTGGAAGTGCTTTAACGCAAAGAAAGAATGAGAGGAAGGTTTAGTACAACAATACAGGGGTATCGCAATGGGCCCAAAGCCTCCGAGTGAGGGATCAAATATGGTCCCAAACCCCAGCAACCTAACCTAACCTAACCTAACCTTTGAATTATCCCTATATTGGTTCTCCCTGTTGATTTTACAGAGAAATCATAAATAGGATTTTTAATTTTAATTAACTTTAAACAATTTGGACCTGCCAATTTTAACTAATCTAAACTGCATCTATTTTGAATTTAACATTGAACAATGTTAAAAAATAAAACAAGGCAAATGCCAACATACCTTAAGTTGTCAACCTATGATTTTATCATCGTCAATTGTTTTAAAATATTGATTTTACTATTTACCTAACACAAATAATAATTTGTTGTAATTATTATGAGCTACACAATTGAGAAAAGTCTTGTCTATCTTACGGAGTCTCTAATCTAATAATTTCACTGACCCATCTCTGACCAATTCCTACCAGGTCGACAATACAAAAAGCTATAATGTTTGAAGCTAAGAATGCGTAAGAAAGAACTGGTAAGTGGTAAGTATATTAGACAATCAGGAGAGGACTGAAGAAAATAATGATAGAGATCTAGATAATTTATATCACGTAGAAAAAAAATAAAAAAAAACATTACAGCACATAGTCATTTAAATAACAAAATTCATGAAGAAATGCGAAGAGGACGAATAACGCAGTAGTACGCTGTAGTTTTTAAATAGTACATTTTGCTGTACATTACTTAAGCTATTTCTCTCATTTCTTATCATCTTATTATTGATCACCATCATTTTCAGCTTATTCAACCATTTCCAATTTTACTGTAGCCTCTCTAACATACTCTCTTTGTAGTTGGGCCTATTGTTGTCTATTGTTGGCTATACGGGCCCAAGTTATCCCTGTTATTTTCCTAATATCATGGTCCCATCTCAGGTTTGGTTTTTCTCTAGGTCTCTTAATTCCTCGTGGGTACCATGTTGTAATTGTTGTGGTCTTTCTGTTGTTAGGCGTCCTTCTTGCCAGGCGTTCTGCCCATTATCACTTGAAGGATTCGACTCTGTGGATGATATCTATTACCTGGATCTTTTGTCGTATTCCACTTTTACGGTCTCCCTTGGTTATTCCCAGCAATCCGTTCGGTTTGCAGTTATTACCGATTTTACAGGTCCATTCATCGTTGTGACTCGTAGTATACATTGGTTGAATGTTTTCTTCTTTAGATAGAGTGGCATTCTAGATTTGAATATGACTGAGTTCCATAAGTACTCCATTCTAACTTAATTCTTCTGTTGATTTCTGGTAGTAGAGATCGAGAGCTGTGTATTAGTTGTTCCAAATAGATTCTTCTACTATAACACAACACTCGAAATAGTAGAACTTCTACTATTTCGAGTGTTGTGTTATTTATTAGAATGTCTTTTCTTTCCACTAGTTTGTTGTACATTAGTTTTTGATAAAATTCATTTTGAGACCCACTTTATTGCTGGCTGTATTTAGTTCATTAATTTGAGCTTGCAGTTCTTCAGGACTATTGGCAATTAGGACATGTCATCAGCGAATCTTAGATGGTTAAGGTATTCTCCATCTATTTTTAATCCTTTCTTGGTCCAGTTGGTCCAGTTTATATATTATTACTCTTGCTTAAGCTTCTTTGTATATATTGGCGCGATTTTCAATATAAGGCTTGCTAATACCTTGTTTCGCTAGGGCTTCTATTATTGCCTTAGGATACATCGAGTCGAAAGCCTTCTCACAGTAGTTCGTATTCTTTTATTCAGCTGATAGTTTCTCTTAGTGTGTGTATGTGATCGCTCGTGCAAAAGCCGCTTCTAAAGCCTGCTGGTTCTCGTGGTTGTGCAGCATCTAGCGTGTTTTGCATTCTGTTGTTTATTATTTCGGTATAGTAACCTCCAGAGTATCACGTATCATTGACAGTCATTACAGAGTATACCGTATTGCTTAAAAAAATAGTTTATAGTCATAAAATAAATACAAATTGTTTTATAAACATCTTTCTTTTTGAACTCCGGATTTTGTTTGACATGTTCGAATTAAACTTTTTTTATATTTTCCTATTATACCCTTCTAATAAAAATATTTTTTTTATTATTTTCATATAGGGTTATTTTTAGAGATCGTAAAAATAAGGCGACGGATCCCTTTCTTTATATTATTATTGTTCTCTGAACAAAGAACTCCCTGCTTTTTCCAACGTCTACGTACTAAAATCTGTTATTTTATTTTTTTACAGCTGCGGCACCGTTCAATAATACATTTATTGTTAAATGGGCTGCGAAAGTGTTTGTCCATGAACAATCAGCACATTTCTTTTAGAGCTATATAAATGAAAACTTTTGGTTTGTTTCGCATCATTTTTGTCCCGATTTTTTTAATGTTCTTAATCTTGAAAAACAAGAAAAAATACTATAAAATAAATGCCCATACTCACTATGTGGACTTGACGAGTATGTCACTACAAACAGTTCCCCCACTAATATCACTGGCTACTTGCAAATTTGTCGAATTTTTATTGATGGGACGCGTCGTCTAACTTTTTACGAAAAACATCGAGATAATATAGAACCTAATGTTTAAATTAGTATAGAATAACTTTATATAATATTAAATATTATATAAAGTTTTTGGTGTGGCAATAATGCGAAAGGGGCATTATGAAACCAAAAATGTCATCGAATGCCACAGTTATCACTTGGTAAATATTGTTAATCAAAAAACAAATCAGGGATAGCTTCAGAATATTACCGTCACTTTTGTTCTGTTCCATTTCTATTTAATAAATTATTAAATAATAATTTATTAAATCCTTAAGACATGTTTTACATATATGTATAGATCAAGTCTAAAAAAACAGTACTTACAGGGTAAGTTTTCTACGATGTTCTCTATGGGTATATCGGAAACTACTGAAGATAGAGAGTCGGTTAAATAGGGAAAGAATTGCAGTTTTGTGAGGTCATAAATATGCGCCTTTCAGATTTTTGAAAAAGTTCATGGCTTACTAGATATTTCGAAAAAAACAAAATTTGACTATTTTAAAAATTGTCCCTAATTCCATTTTAATCTATTTTAGACAAAAAGTTTTCAGATAAAAGTTGTAGATAATCACATCCTTAATGAGACTGCGTCCTCCGTTTTTTTCTAAAGCCTGTCATTTTTGACATATGACACAAACATGTTTTTTTAAATGGAAACCATAGTTGGTCATGACATCATAAAAAGCGCCATTTTTTAAGCTTTTCAGCAATATAAGCTATAATATGTTTTATTTTAAATTACTGAGTTATAGCCAATTCTTATCATTTTAAAACAATTTCACTTAGTTAGCCATGAAAACAAGTTCAATCGTCTTCAGAAATGCAAAACTGTCACATTGCAATTTTTATGAAGGCATGGCCAACTCTGGTTTCCATTAAAAAAAACATATGTTTGTGTCATATGTAAAAAATGACAGGCTTTAGAAAAAATCAGAAAACACAAACAATGAGTTTGTGTTAGGTATGTGATTATCAATAACTTTTATCTGAAAACTTTTTGTCTAAAATAGATCATATGGAATTAGGGACAAGTTTTAAAATTGCCAAAATTTGTTTTTTCGAAATATCTAGTAAGCAATGAACTTTTTCAGACATCCGAAAGGCGGATATTTATGAACCCACAAAACTGCAATTCTTTCCCCATCTAACCGACTCTCTATATTCAGTAGTTTCCGAGATACCCATAGAGAACATCGTAGGAAAGTCACTCTGTATAATATCTAATACTTACTAAGTATTTTAAAACAACATTTATATTAAAAATACATTATATAAAAAATTGTTACGCTAAATTTCTCTACTATAAGTATGGTATTCCTCCAGACTATTCCTCAAGAACACATCATTCAATGGTCATCTTCACAGACAGCCAGGCAGCGCTAAAAGAACTCGGCTCCACGGAGGTCTAGACTAATGAGCGAACTAAGGTTATGTTAGCCTGGGTACCAGGGGCCAAGGGTCACAAGGGTGACGAAGAGGTATATGAAATGGCAAAACAATGCTCATAAATGCCATTCATATGGTATTGATGAGTGCCATATGAATGGCACTGGTGTGGCCAAAAAATTTCTTCTCAGAGAAATTCACCAGGACAGAGGCAGGCGAAAAAGTTCATTGTAGAACATTCGCCAAAATTTACGGCGACCTGATAAGCAAATGTACAAAGACAAAGTGAGCCGATAGCCACCTCGAAGAATCTAATCTAAATATACTTCATTTTGACTATTCTTCTAAGCTTTTGATATGTAAGTATTTGAGCACTTCTTAATAGTATTTTTGCATATAATTATATATATCTTACCTATCGACATCATTTCTACTAGAATCTCTAATCGTATAAACAATGCTGCAACAGCAGCAGCAAGTCCACTGTAGAATGTAGCTAAAGCTGGTGTTCCAGTACTTTGCCATACTTGCGAGAAAGTTCTGAAAAATACAAATATAAAATTTTATTTAAGTAGAACAGACACACATTTTATTAATGTTGTAATGCAAAATAATTCTAACAGTAAAGCGGCGTTTACACGATGCAAGTTTTTCTTGCGCAAATACTTGAATGCAAGTACTTGCAATTGAACATTTTAAAATTGTATGTTTACACTAGTTAAACGTGGTGTAAATATTTTGTCATACGTTAAGTGATGAATTGCGTACTTAACTGATGAATTGCGTATGGGTAAAACCATGGATAAATCTGAGGAAACATTATTTATTCCAAAACGCTTTCAGAGGCAGCATCTCTTCTATTTTGATTTCTATAGTGTACACTAAGATCGAGGTGTGTAGTTCGTGAACGAACTAGTTCCAATGAACTATTCCGACCCCGTATGAAAGGAACTAGTTCACGGTTTCTCAAAGAACTAGTTCCTTAGGACCTATTCTGGGATGGAGACTGTGACCGATATATAATAATATGAGACGGCGACGGATCGGCCAGCGCTATCGTAGCCCGATGCTAGGCAAAAATGGGGAGTACCAACCGTATGTTATCGTATACGGACCTAGAGGAACTAAATAAAAGACTAGTTTACGTACCGATCGGCCAGCGCGATCGTAGCCCGATGCTAGGCCAGCCGTATGTTATCTGTCCAGGACCGGAAGGACTGAGAGGAACTAGATAAACTATTAAAAAGACTATCACACGGGAATCTATTCAGTCAGCAGATCCGAGATATAATACAAGGTGAGAATGATAGATTCGGCTTTGTCTATTGCCGCAGCCGGCGTAATTACCACAGAAAATTGTCGTGGATACTGTTTTTCATTTTTAGTTTGTTCTTTGAATATTTTATGTGAATGTTTCACATTAGGTCCCTAAAATTAAGAAATATACTAATATATAAAATCCTTAATTGACTGACATACTGATTAATCACGATCCTGCTCAAACCACTCAACGTAAGAAGCTCAATTTTAGCATACAGATTGATTCTAGGGTGTAGAGGTGCGATACGAAGGGAAAACTTCTTTCGGGAAAACGCTTGGACAAGCATATTTTTTACTTAATTTGAAATTTTTTAAAAAATCATACAGGGTGTTTCAAAAAGTTGGGTAATTTCTTAACCACGATTCTGCTTAAACTGCTGACGTAAAAAGCTTATTTTTGGCAAACGGATTTTTCGAAAGTCAAATTCCAACGAGATGAAACTACCCCTCAAATATTTCCCAGTTATATAATAATATCGCCATATTGTTTTTTCTCATGCTGACATAAATGTGAGAAAATTTTATCAAGTTTGTATGTTAATGAAAATTCTTCCTTTGCTTTATCATCACCATTACAAATGATTAATTCGACGCGAAGGAAGTCTTATATCTTATAAAACGAAGTAGATATTCTGATTTTTTAGGCAAAAACAAAAAGCTTGAAGTAGGAAAAATGCAATTTCTCGTAAATTTTTCGTATTATTTGCTCCAATTGATTTGTGATATAGTTTTTTGAACTCTGATTTGAGTTTCTTTTTTAATTTCTCTTTTTTTTTAAATTAAAGAACTAGTTCAAGGAACTATTCCTATGGAGGAACTAGAACTAAGGAACTAGTTCTTCCAAAAGAACTGAAATTCCCACCTCTACACTAAGGTGTACACTTCTAACGTTCTACAAACATAACGTCTTCTACAAAAACTTCTAACGACTTCTACAAACATTCGTGCGTTTCGTAAATTGTTAAAAACCTCATAATTTGGTCGTCAGACAGCCTGCTTGGTGCCATTTTTTCGTGCAACTTTTAATGCAAAAACTTGACAACATGTTTACATGTCAAATTTTCGCTCTGCAAGTCCTAGCACGCAAGAGTAAAGAGAAAAGTAGACCTGTGGTCAATTTTACTTGCAAGCTAATTATTCTTGTACAAGTACTTGAAACACTGTTTACATTGTTCAATTACTTGAAATTACTTGCGCTAACTATGTTACTATTACTTCAAACCAAACCAAACCAAACCAAATAAAACCAATCAGATCATGGTATTTTTGAACGATAACATTCAAAGTTTTAATTGAAAATAGCTTACTTGAAAATAAGGCCGTCCTGTGCCATAGCGTATATTATCCTGGGCATCGGAAACATGGAGCCGAACATGGACACCGTCAGACCGGCCAGAGCGCCCACGGCCACAATATATTTGCACCGGAAAGCGCCCACTTGACCGAACATCTCCACCAGGGCCGAGTCCTCGTCCACTTCCGAATAGGGAACTAGACAAAGAGATAATGTATAATTAAAAGCTATGCCGTTTAATAACAGTAGGTACTAGTAAATCAATTTATAAGAAAATTTGCTTGAAAGTGGTAGAAGATGGTAAATTATGAAATAAAATATCTTTTTGGGTTAACATTCTTTTTACCAATGTGTTTTCCAATAGACCTTATACAGTGGAAACGTAAAATAGTGAACGTGAGAGCACATCTTCATTGAAAATAATCTGTAAATTCATACTTTCAAGCAATGAAGACAAGCTGTAGTGTAAGAACTATATTTTTCGTGGTTTGTTCAACAGTTTTCAGGAAGTGTTTGAGTTTTGAGAAAATATTGAAAAAATTGACTCCTAGAACTCAAAACAGTTATCGCATATTTGAATAAAAGTATTTATTACATATTTCTAAACGAAGCATGCATTTTTCTGCCTTTCTCTTATGAGTTTTTTTAGAATAATTGGGGTTGCCAACTTTCAAAATAAAAAATAGAGGACGAGAGGGTAAAAAAGAGGCACAGGTAGTGATGTAAAATTACCGGTAATTTATAAATCCGTAATATTACTGGTAAATATTACGGTAACATTAGTGATTTATAAAAAATCGCTTTTTAAATAATATTAGTTTTTTTTATTTCCAAACCATAGAAACATTACAAAATAAGATAAGAATGTTTATTAAACTAATCAGAGTCGAGTGGTCTATGTTATAGTACGTAATAGAGTGGATAATGATAATTCATCCTCAATCTTGTCATATGGCTCTTCTTTCTAATTGGGTCAAGTCTATTACGTCGAAATCAATATATATTCTTCTTCCGTTTCTTTCTCAGAAGCATCATTTTTGGATGTTCTTCTAGTGGACTATAATTATATGGGTAATATAATTCAGTTTCCCGGCCCTTTCCACGGTAAATTTGTTTGCTCTAGGCCGATGGACAAATCCATAAGCACTAAAGATTTTTTCGGTTGCTGCTGTTTACGACGGTGAATTTAAATTGTCTATAGTAGTTTAGTTATTTTAGGGCTGGAGCAAATTCCTACCCACTAGACAAGTCCAGACATAGATTTTTCTCTGGAGAGGACGAATTCTTTAGCAAAAATACTACCTCTAATTTTGTATTGTGTCAGTCAGTGCTTCCATAACGAGATCTACTTGTCAAAAATACTTTGGATGATGCCTTGCAGTTTCATAGATGAATTCCGTTGCAGTTAAATTTTCACCTTAAGTTAAATTTTTGCTGCGTAGATTTGGTTATAATAGGTAGGCAGGAAGATAGCAGGTCTTAAACATTTACTTGCCCGTTTTTCCAAAATTGCACACATTTTCTTGTTTTCCGACCTAGCAACGGATGAATCTGATACTTTGCTATATAATATAGACCTTATTTCAGAAAAACAGGTAAAAGTTTTGAGATTGTTGGCCGTTAGTTTCAAAAATCGTTATCCCCTTAGAGATTGCATTAAACAAGTCATAAGTTGCTTGTATTTGGAGCCAAAATTCGTTTGTGCCCTCACAGGGCTTACTGTGTTTGGTGAAAGAATATCAGGAATATCTGGGTCATCATCAACTGCTAAGCTTTTTAATTAGTGTTTAGTGTCTAATAAAGCTCTTTAGACAAGAAACAAAGCAGCCCCATCTTGTTTTCACCAAAAAAAGGAAAAGAGTAGAGTGGGGAAAAACAATATTTCCAATGTTACCAATCTTGCGGTAATATTACGTAATATTTCCAAAATTACCGGTAATATTACCCTTTACATCACTAGGCACAGGCGAAACATTTTTTGAAACATCGCCCAAATATCAGCCAGTTTTTACCAACATGTTATGTCAACGGTATGCCATTGAGATTATTTCTTATTTTCTTAAAAATGTTATACCCAAAACTTGTTAAAATAAAACAAACTTTTTTTTAGCATAAGCTAACATTAAATAAACATAAAATAGTTAAACATGTTTATCGCTTCCACAAGTATTTCTTATAAGCATTGTATTGTGGCGATAGACGAATATTTTTTAGATTTTGAGTTTGGTCTGATTTGAGTTTGAGTTTGGATTGGTATGTAAAAAAGAGGACTTTTTGGTGAGGGAAAAGAGGACAGTGAGATCAAAAAGAGGACTGTCCTCTGGAATAGAGAACGGTTGGCAACCCTATAATCAGGGACTGATATAATCACTGACATATAATTTTTAGTTGGCCGACTTTTTAGTTGCAAAAGTAAAAATAATATCTTTTTATGGAGCCGATCGGCCCAATATTTGATTGCATCGCGTAGCCTTACGCTATACGCTGACAGGCAATTTTTAAATCGGCCGACTATTTAGTTGCATATTTGTAACCAATATATCCTTATGGAGCCGCGCTCACATGCCATCAAATAGTCGACCGAGTATATCCATAAGTATGTATTGTTTTCACTTTTGCAATTAAATAGTCGGCCGACTAAAAATTACAGGTCGATGCGTAGGCTTATTGTTTCGAATTTGCATGTTTCCAACGACGATGCACCACCCGGTATATAAATAATTGTTATCAGACAGTAATTGTTAATTTTAAGTTTGCTTCATATAATGTCATTTTAACAGAACGTCATCGGTTTATAATACGAGTAGACTGAAAAAAATGACTAAAAAAACTGAATTGTTTTTGAATAGTTAGTATATTTGGATATTCTAAACAGTTTTTTCTTTGTCCTGTATATTTTTTGCTTGGGATGGTCCTGAAACGCTAAGCATTTTTTATCGGTTAGGCAAATTTGTTTTACTGTATAAGTTGGATTTTATTTCGATTCAACGCGGTATTGTTTCCAAATAATTAATTTTTTATTTTGTAAAATCCAGAATTCTTTTCAAGGAATGAACCCGTCACAAAGGTATAGACATTATTTAGTAATATTTTTATTTTACATATATCATTGTCTATCACTTAAAAAAACATGTATACTTTTAAAATCTACTTACCGATTAACGTTAGCATCATAGAGCTAGTAACATACGCCGTTAAGATTATTCCTAAACTGGAAATGATGGCCAGTGGAATAGATTTTTTTGGAGTAGCTGCTTCTTCTCCCGTTGTTGCTATGATATCAAATCCGATAAACGCATAAAAACACGTTGCTGCTCCCGTAAATACCTAAAAAAGAAATAGATGTAAATTAATTTCTTAATTTCTAACTCCGATTACTAAAAGAACTAAACAATTGATTTTCATTAACTTTTTTTAACGGTTAAACTATATACAGGGTGTCATTGAAATGGTGTAAAAAAATCGGGGGGTGATAGTGCTCCTAAAAATAGTAAAAAAAGTTCCTATAAGTATAGGGCGGAAAATTCATATTAAGGGAATTAGGGGCACTGAAAGGGCGAATTTAAAAAACGGTTTTTTGAAATTGTAGGCTTAAAAAACGAGATAAAATTTTGAAAAGAAATCCTCTGCCATAAATTTTGACCCTAAATCAAATGGTGACACTGAAAAATTATTTGGAAAAGCGGAAAGGGTAGTTTTTGCAAGGGTAGGGGGTTGTTTCGTGAATAACTTTTTTGAGGTTATTTTTTCGCAACGCGGGTTCATTTTTTGAAAACTACATACCCTTTCCTACAAAAAAGGTACTCTTGTTGCACATTGCCCAGAGTGATGGTTTTCGAGAAAATTGAAGGCAAAGAGTTTGTTCTGATGGGTTGTTGCTAACTGGTTAATCAACATAAATTTATAAAAGTTATGGCGGTTCAAAAGTAACCAAGTAGTTATTAAATAATTAATTGGAATATCAAAATGTGTGATTTGAAAATGTCATGATTTTTAAAACATCTTTTTGCTTTAAAAACGAAATAAACCAATTACCAAAATTCCTTATTAAAATAATACATTCCTTAATTCATTCATAGTAAATGTTCAAAGTGACCACCATTCATTTCAGTGCAGACATCTGCTCTTCTTCTCCAAAATCTGCGTACTCTGTGGAATATCCTTGGTGTTGTCCGAATTTGATTGGAACAGTCAATAATGCGTTGCCGTAGTTGCTCTTCAGTATTAATCGGTACTTGTCGGTACTGAGTAAACCATAGCTTTGTTATTTCGCTTTTTAAAACAATAAGATGTTTTAAAAATAATAAAATTTTGATTTTTGAATTAATTATATTTGATAGCTAATTGGTTATTTTTGAACAGCCATAACTTTCATAAGTTTATGTTGATTAACCATTTAGCAACCCATCAGAGCAAACTCTTTGCCTTCAATTTTCTCGAAAACCATCACTCTGGGCGATGTGCAACAAGAGTACCTTTTTTTGTAGAAAAAAGTATGTAGTTTTCAAAAAATGAACCCACGTTGTAAAAAAAATAACCTCAAAAAAGTTATTCGCGAAACAACCACACTCCCCTTGCAAAATCTACCCTTTCCGCTTTTCCAAATAATTTTTCAGTATCACCACTTGATTTAGGGTCAACATTTATGGCAGAGGATTTTTTTTCAAAATTTTATCTCGCTTTTTAAGCCTACAATTTCAAAACAACCGTATTTTAAATTCACCCTTTCAGTGTTCCTAACTCCCTTAATATGCATTTTCCTCCCTATATTTATAGGAACTTTTTTTACTATTTTTAGGAGTACTATCACCCCCCGATTTTTTTACATCATTTCATTGACACCCTGTAGACAATTATATTCCTAGTACAATATTTAAATATTAAAATCGCAATCGCAGTTTTAATTGCGATTGGAGAATGGCAGTTTTGCTCATTTCTAGTTGAGGGGTTTCTGGCAAAAACCCCATTGGTCAAAAAATGGGTAAAATGAGTTAATTGTTTGTAACTAACTGGTGTTAATGCTATCCGACAGTAATTTGTTAGTCATAACGTTCCTATCAAACGAATTCGGAAAAAGTGCTATAAGTCAGCCCGTGGCATACGATCAAAAATACCGTAATTCCGCAAGAACCCCACAAGTCACAAGTCTTAACGGTAAAAACCCCACTAGTCCTCTACTGGTCGTGGTTTGGTTGTTTGTCGTTTGTAATCGTTCGTAATCGTTCGAACAGTTGCTACGGGACTTTGTTGTTTCCACGTGATTATATTGCCATAATATGTCACATACGTTGTTTTTGCCAAAATTAGTAGTCAAACAAATTCAAAAAAATAAGTCAAACAAATTCACACCCTTCCTAACTTAAAAATAAGAAAAAAATAAACAAAACTAGTTTTCTGTAATTTCAGATTATAACCAGAGCTCATACAAAAAAACCGACAATTTAAATTTAAATGGGAGCAAGATATACTTTTTTTTAGTTTTTCCAAATTTCGAAATATCTGACTAATTCGTAAATATCTGATCAATTGGTATCAGGTCTAAGGAGAGATCGAGTTAAAGAGGTAGATAAAATGAAGACAGATCTTCCAGCTTTTACCTCACAGGTACATCAAACGGAAACAAGCTCGTGGACTGTGAAAGGCACGGAGAGCTAAACCCCAACCTCGGAAGGGTGTATGTATATCCTCGTAAGAGGTAGATGCCTACTCCTCGGAAGATGAACATCTGTTGTCAGAGGAGAATGAGAAACACAATGTCCCCCTTCAACAGAAAGATCCCCATATAGGTATGATGAGTTATAGACTGTATGATGAGTTTGGTTTGGTTGTTCAAGAAAGGGTGACTCAAGAAAGGGTTACTCAAGAAAGGATGACAACGTAGTCGTTGTATTTTTATCAAAAAATTGGAAATAGATTGAAGATATAGGTAGTTTATCAAAATTTCATAATAGTTGGTGGTATTATTTTTAAAAATAGGGGAGGTGAGTGGATCAAAAATATATTTTTTTTCATATTGTCGAGAACAAGAATTTAAGATTTACCATTAAAATAAATCACTCAATATATTAAATAAATATTTCTATAAACGAATTATTTGCACAATGAAAATTAAACTAGAACAAGTTGAAGTCGGATTAAAATCTGACGGCTAACTTTGTTTAATTCTTATTGTGGTAAATATCATGTAGAATAATATAAAGAAAAAATATAGGCAATTTTACTATCTGTTTTATTTTGTATAACGCCGAGTATATAAATTTCATTAAGTAAAGATCCTTTGAAAGCCGTTCCAAATCAAATGCAGATAAAAACCTCTGTTGCTTCGTTCCCCAATCCGTCTATATACGAAAACAGAAAAACTTGATCGTCTCTCGTCTCGATTTAAATGAGAGTGCACGCATGAATAAACGGAAATAAAAAATGTAATTGAAATTACGTCAAGTATATAGACGATGGTAGTTTTCTGGTAAATTACTTATAATTGTGAAAATAATGTATAAACTATATGGGGAAATTAAAATAACTTTGGTTGCACATCATAATACGTACTAAAATAAAAACGTGCAACGAAAGTTGTTTTAATTTCCCAAATCGCGCATCGAGGATTTTATTTCCATTACCCGAACGTTTAGATTTTTAAATTATAAAATAAAACTTGCTAGTATCTAGCTAGATACTAGCTAGTTCGCTAGTATCGCTGTACCAGGTTCTCTCTTTTAATCAAAACAACCATTAGAAAAATATGCATTTATTAAATATACAACTACATACTTAACAAATAAGTGTAGATAACGATTTTAGGAAATGCCAAGACTTAAGGGTTCAAGACTCAAAGAGGTACTTACAACTAGCATCTTGTCTGACTGGTTCTGTCTTCTCTGTCTTCTACTGATTCACTCGCAACCAACTGACTGACTAACCTCGACTAACGGACTAACCTCGACTCACCCCGAACTCTCTTCAGCATACCCTTTTATATTTTCTATCCCTCGTGGTCATCGCCGGTTACGTCGTTAATATGTTTTCATCTAATCACATTCACCCGGCTATGAGTATGAGGAAATCGAACTCCGGTAACCTACGTTTGATTATCGACTCGAGATTGTGGTATTTTAATTGTTTAATTTTTAATGTTATTTAAAAACATATCTGGGTCGATGTCATGCAGGTAACCGATCTCTTGGGCCTATATCAAATTGGTTTACTAGAATTATATTATATTTACTAGAATTATATTATTTGTACTTTTTTCCCGATTTGATCTAAACCCAAGTTGACATCTATTTAAGTCTTGACACTATTGTTAAGTAAAAATATTTTTAATTAAATTAAAAACTACTTGGAAGCACGGCAGTGCCTTCGCCAAGTCGAGCACAGCTTTTCTCGAAGGTATAGCGGCACTTTGACCACCCTGTAACTTCGTTGTGGATAAAGCAAGAATATTAATTCTACACATGAAGAGATACTATATCTGGCTAGGTTACCAAAATATCTAGTAATTATACCTTATAGTTTATGAATTATCGCTTGTCAAATTTCGATATTGACTCACAGACATCATCAAAATTCTAAGGTACTTCTAGATGTGTCATAAACTTCAAATTTCGAATTTTAGGTAACTTTAAGCTTATAGTGGAAGAAAAAATTAAAAAAAATCTTAAAATATCCTTATGGACTAAAAGTTAGCTGTCTAGCCGCTACCTGTAACTGACTTTCCAGTCGAGAAATAGGTAGAAAACCGAGTAGAAAACTAATTATTAATCGAATTAGGGCTCGACCTCACTGACGACCAGGTTGCAACGACCTGGCCGTCGGCTGGCCGGATGTATTGCGTTTTTTGCTGCGGCCAGATGAACGACCAGTTTCAACAGAGTTTTCAAATCTAACGATTTTTTACGTTTTACCAATTAGAAAATATTGTTTCAGAAATGTTAAAATATCCGAGTTAACTAAAAAGCAAAGTTGCTATTCACAACAAACAAAAAGCATTGTGTACGCGGACCGACAAAAAGGGAGATATTCTGTTTCTTTTTTCTACTGATATGGATGTGATATGGACTTCTACTGATGGCTCTTATCGACTTTAGAAGTAAACATATTAGGGCTATCGTAAAAAAAGATCGTCAGACACTGGCTCTAAATATAAGCAGGTAGAAAGTTTAGCTTCCAGTTATTTCAATGTTTACAATATAACGAAGAATCTACAACAGTAACTACTTCTAATTTTATTAATGTTTAAGTTACTTTCTTAATTTTTTTTCAAAATAATGTACCTAGTAAAAATATAGCCTAATGAACCCTGTTTGAAAAACGTTAAATTAAATATC